GCATCACCCTGACGACTGTACGGCAGAGCTCAAGAGGGCCAAGCTTAGGAGTTACTGCCCGAGGTGCTGGCGACTCACCGATCGTCACGAGCTGTGCCGAGACTGTCGACCTCCACGAGGACCGGAGAAGAGGAAGTAGGCCGCGCAGGACACCGGGACCCCTGGATCTTGTTCCCCCAGTGAGGGAGCAATATGCTGGATAGGACCAGGAATGGCTGACACCTGAAATCGCCACTTCCGATTTTCCAACGCCAGAATTGAGTATTTTACTATGGAAAAGTAGAGCCTAAGTAAGCATTAAAATCAGAAGAGGTTAAATCAAAAATCTTGTGACCTGACGTTAACCCTCAGAGGTTAGTCCGTCACAATATATTTTTGTTAAGAACGTTGATTTCAGCTTTGGTTTTTTTATTGCTATCAGGGAAGTTGCGAAATTTCTTCAATAAGTAAATTTTGCATTTCTTCCTTTTGGATTTGATGAGATGGATGATGAATAGTGGCAGTGTGTAATTGAAGAAAATGTATTTGGTTTTTGAAGTGTATTTTAATATTGTTTCCGAGAGAAATGCGTGAAGGCCGTGATGTTTCCCACGTTGTTCTCAGTGTGGTCTCGGTTGAACTGTAGTACTTCGGTGTTGACTTTCTCCATATTTGTTTTTGCGAAGTTGTATCGGGGAGGATAAGGGTCTTCGATGTGAAGCCTAGGGTCTTTGGTGATGCTTATTTTGATTGCTAGATGATGTGACGCTAGGTCTGGGATGCGCTCGATGTCGTGAACTCTACACTGAATATTTTGGTACAGAAAATGAGATCAGGTATCGTGTCGTTGTTTTGCGGCAAGATGAACGTCGGGTCCGTATGAAGCTGGATGTACTGACCGGTGGAGAGAAAATCTTTGATTCAAGATTTTTTGTTTGTCAGAGCTGAAATCCCCTATGATGATGGCATATCTGCAGAGTGATGCCATGATGAATAGAGAGTGTTAAAGTTGTGCTGCGAGGTGTGAGTAGACTAGAAAAATGTGAATTGGTTCATCTCTAGAGGCGAGAGAAAAGTGCAGAATTTTATTTAGTTGATGGGTAATGGCCGGTGCAATTTTGTTTTTTCAGTTGAAGACTTGGGTGTGCTTAGATTGAAGAAACTCCTCTGGTTTTTCCTTTTATTGTCTCTTCGATTTGATCCATTCAACCAGTCTTTGTATTTGATATTGGTGTTCTCGTTAATTGTGGCCTCTACGAAAAAGTTACAGTTGATATTGTTGTTTCCCACGAAATGGTTTACGAGGGATTTTTTGTTGTTGTAGCTGTTGATGTTGTAATATGCAATATTAATTTCTTTCATTTTCAATTATTTTACTTCTGCCTGTGGAAGGTGCAGTATGTGATGGGTCTCCCGGTGCATCCAGGTTGAACATCAAAATGTACATTTCGATGCCAGAGAAGACTGCAGCTGTGTCAATCTTGAGTGTGTCGATGAAGCGTTTCTTGAGCTTAGCGATAAATTCTTCTCTGTTAGTGTTTTTGGGGTTGTTAAGTTTGTTGATGTAAGTGTTGATGATGGTGTGGGGGCGTGGATTGGGCTGTTTTTGATAATGGATTTATCGAGTTCAGATAATTTTTCATTGATCGATTTAATGGGAGCGTTTGGAACTCCATTTGAATTGTACGCTTGACCGAGATTTGATTTAAATGTCGGCGTGTTGACACGAGCACGATAGAGTTGTTCACACGTTAACGTCTCGAGTGCGACTGCGCTGGTTTCTATTATCACGCTTCATTCTATAAGTTTCGGATATATATTTTTCCAATACGTTAGCCTCCAATATCAACTAGGGAGCTCCGATATGATATGGTATCAATATATGTACGCAGTTTCATTAATCCAATATGAGACTGAACCCATATTGTACGCTATCCGTATCATTCCTTCCAGTTAGATACCAACGCTAAGTATTTCGAAATTTTCATTTCAAATACGTGCCAAGGATCACCCTTTACAATACGGATTATTAGGTGTGCGACTTAATTTGTACATATTTTTTCTTCGAGCTTAAAATTATGTTTAAAATAGAAATATATTTGCGGTCTTTTCTGGTTTTGAAAGGATCCGACGAAAGGTTTCAGAACGCGGAACGACAAGTCTATGTAAGTTACATAACCTTTCAGAAAAGCAGAGTTTACGATGGCAGCTGATGAACATTCGGCAATGCAGTTTATACGAATTCCAACAAGGAAAAAATGCTTCTGAAGCACGAGAATCAATGTGCAGTATTCTTGGTACCGACGTTGTATCTTATGAAATGTGTAATTATTGGTACAAACGTTTTAGAAGTGGTAATTTCGATCTGAGTGACCAGCCGCGTCCTGGACAGCCTCGAAAGTTTACAGATGCGGAATTGCAACCTCTACTAGATGAAGACTCAACGCAAACATAACAAGAGCTTGCAGCTCAGTTAGGAGTCACCCGAATAGCTATTTCTAAGCGTTTACGTCAAATGGGAAAAATCCAAAAACTTGGAAGGTGGGTCCCACATGTGTTGACCGAACACAACCTAGGTCAACGTATGAACACGTGCCTCTCACTGCTTGCCCGGCAATAAAAAAAGGACTTCTTGTGGAGAATTATGACGAGTGATGAAAAGTATACTTTTTAGGAGAATCCTAAACGTAAAAAGTCGTGGGTAGATCCCGGACAATCCAGTACATCGACGCCGAAACAGAACATCCACTTAAAGAAGATTCTCCTGTGTATCTGGTGGGAAATGAAAGGTGTGCTTTATTACGAACCCCTGGAAACAGGTCAGACAGTGACTGCGGAACGCTACAGCCGACAACTGAACAAACTGAGCGAAGAACTTGATCGGAAAAGGCAATTTACTGGGCAAGGAGGCAGGCTAGTCATACTGCTGCATGACAATGCTTGACCTCACGTTGCTCGCGCGATGAGCAACGTGACTTGGATGGGAAGTTCTCCCGCACGCGGCATATTCACCAGACTTTGCATCCAATCCAATTACGATTTAAAATATTCTTTCTAATGCCATCATGACTAAGTTCAATCATGAGATTGATTGTATCATGTGGGGTTCAAAAAATTTATTTTGAAACCAATATTTTCAGGGCAATATTGGCTCGCAATGGTGGGAAAATTCAATTCATCATGAATTGTTCAAGTAATGAATTAACTGAGAACAAATTGGGTGATTGAGAGTGATATTATGAGAATTCCATGAATCATTGATTTCAGTTGAAATACATCGTCAGAGAAGTTCGTAATCAAATTACAAATTAAAAGCAAATTGCTAATTTATTAGCAAAAATATATGACGATGTTATGACGAAAGCAATTTCCCACTTGTTTTCAGATTTGATAGGAAAAGATCGTATTTTAACCCCTCAGGCACCATGGACCTATACGGAATACATGTCTCTCTTCAAAGGTAAATATTTTAAGAAGTTAGTGAGACGCATTGCTATTTAGCGCGCGACCAGATTAGTGTGACAAGGGCGCCGTCCTTGAGCATTTAATTTTCATGTATTAGGTGTATAAATTAATTCTCGGCCCCTAGATTAAATTGATCAGAGCACCTATTTGAATTAAAAGAATTCCCCGCAATAAACGGCGTTTTGAAGCGCCGTCTGTGAATTATCAAACCACTTAAGTCCGATTGTGGTGTGATTAACACAAGCTCAAAAAACATAGTGAATAAAAATATCGTTCGATAAGCAGCACTTGAGGCAATGCCTTATTTTCACCTTGAAACTTGGAAAAACTGCCGCAGAAGCAGAAGAAATGATTCGTTAGGCCTTGGGAGGGAGTGCTGTATCTTACAGCACATGTAAAAAGTGGTTTAAAACATTTCGGGATGGAAATTTTGATCTCCAGAATGAGGAACATCCTGGGCAACCAAAAAAAGTTGAGGACGATGAGTTGGACAACTTACTCAATGACAATCCCTGTCAAATACAACAGGAGCTTGCTGATACTCTTGGAATGACTCAACCAGCTATTTCGGTGCGTTTCAAAAGAATTGGAAGGATACAAAACGAAAGTCGTTGGGTGCCCCATCATCTTACCTCAAAAAACAAAAGACGACGCTGTGAAATTGCAATGTGCCTAATGACCAGATTCAAACAAAAAGAATTTTTACATAAAATCGTGTCTGGGGATGAAAAGTCGTGGGTTTATCCGGGGGAGCCGTCGACGAGTACTGCAAAACATTCACGGGAAAAAATTGTTGTTGTGTATTTGGTGGGATTGGAAAAGTGTAATCTATTATGAGATACTCGAACAGGGGGAAACCGTCACTGCTAAGTGTTATCAGGACCAACTGGTGAAACTGAGTGATGCTATTGAGGAAAGGAGACTTTTTACTGGTAGTGGTACGAGGCAAGTGATTTTGCTGCAGGAAAACTCGCGGCTACACACGTCAAAAGAAACCCTGAAAGTTATCTCCACGTTGGGCTGGGAAATTCTCCCACCTGCGTCGTATTCTCCAGACCTTGCGCCTTCTGACTATCACCGTTTTCGGGCGCTACAACATCACCTGGTGGATACCCAGTTTCGATCTCCTGAAGAGGTCCGGCAGAGAATTGATGACTTCATCCAATCAAAACCACCATCTTTCTTTCGAACCGGAATCCGACAATTGCCCGATAGATGGGAGGAATGCATGCAAAGTGACGGTGATTATTTTTAAGATTAGATCTGTATTCATTTTTTTATAAATAAATGTTAGAATTGTCAAAAAAAGGCCGAGAATTAATTTATACACCTAATACCATCGAAATATTAATTTTTGAAATTATTGATTTTTCAATAAGGCGCTGCATTAAATTCGGTTCAACAATAATTTTTCATTCAAAAAATTGAAGCGATTTTCTATGTGTAGACAAAATCTACGATTTGGAATCCAAGTTTCTCGGCAATTCCTTGCAATTTTTAAGCGTCTAAAAAATGAAACTCTGTCTATACTGCAATAAAAGTGATTCTATACTCACATTGTAATAAATATCCGGATTATTGCTATCGTAAAAAAGCGCCCGCTCATAAACTTCCTGGGCCTCTTTCGTTCTGTTCATTTTAATCAGAACATCACCCCTATTGATGTAAGCCTGTGTGTAATCAGCTCGCATACTGATGGCTTGTCTGTAGAGTAGATCGGCCTCCTCAAGTCTCGATCCATTTTTTGCAATTAAATTTGCGAGGTTGACGAAAACATTCAAGTGGCTTGGAGCAATTCTAGCTTGATATGATTCACCAGGCTTCGCCTTTGGTAGTAATGACTTCGCCTGTAAACAAAAGGGGGTAAATGCAAACGAGGAAAAAGGAATTCGATGGAAATTCAGTCAATTCTTATTTGATGAATAAACATACCCTCAGATAAGCATCTTCCGCTTCCTTAAACATCTTGAGATGATTGTACGTCCTTCCGACATTAATGTGAGCTCCAATATCGTCACCCTGCACGAGAACAGCCTCATTGAAGTAATCTAATGCCTCTTTGTAACGACCCTGACCCTCCAACGCGTGTCCAACGTTATTGAACAGTTTAGCATTGTGAAGATTTACTTTGAGGCCCGACATGAATATAGCATATTCGTCTATCCAATCGTAATTGCGAGCGAAGGTTTTTACGGAGTGAGAAAGAAGAAGGAGGACTAGAAAGATTGTTGATATTTTTGGACATCTGAAAAGAATACATTCCTTGGTTTTTAAAGAGGTAGTGCCCATTTCCGGAATGAGTAAGTTTCGCAAACAAATGTCAGAATGTAGGATTGGTTGTTGGTCGGTGGATTATAAATCACTGCACAGACGAATTAATATCTATTTCATTTCACGGCGCTGCTAGCCGTAATTCAAGACACCAGAGGTGCGTGTGAGTCCCCTAGGTGTACGAGTGAGTGACGAGAGGGGATCTTCCTTCTGGTATTATGTAACGAGGCGTTACATGAAGACCTTGTCGCGGAGAATTAAATTTCCACTAGAGAGGTCACTTGATAGATTTGAATTGTGGCGGCTCAACCTTCATCAATTACCATCGTCACCAACGTATCCTGCCACCAGCGCCACCAACGAAAGTAGATAATAGTAATGCGGCAGAGCTCTGTGAAGTTGGCACCCCACCTTGATGAATTGAAATGAAAATTTGATATTTGGTAGATTTTGATCGCTACATGATAGTAGTAGCATTTTTTTTTTGGTTGTAGTTGAAAAATAAGCGCCCCATACATTTTCAAAAGACAGTTAGGAACTATTTCATAGTTACAGCTAAAAGGACATCGGATTTTCATCTGCTATCGTTTGTAGTTGATTGTAGTTTTGAAATTTTTCCTATCCGACTTCAAATAGATGCCTTATTAATTTTTGAAAGACCGTTAGGAACTATTTTGCAGTTGCAGCTCAATTGGCATCGGATTTTGATCTGCAATCGTTTGTAGTTTTTTGTAGTGCTTGCAGATTGTCAGTCCAATGAAAAAAATTGACGGTATGGTTTTTATGAAATGGTTCCGAAAAATTATTTTTCATAAAGAACTTGAAAAAGATCATTGTTTTGAATGGTGGAAAAAATTAGGAAGAATGAAAGATTCTTATCTGTAATCGTTTGTAGTTGATCCTATTCCTGAAATTTTTTCAATCCGAATTCAAATAAGTGTTCTGTTCATTTTCATAGTCCAATTCATACCTATAGCCAAACTGTCGACGGATTCCTGCCTACAATCGTTTGTAGTTGTTTGTAGTACTCATAGATTTCCAATCCAATGGAAAAGAAGAACGTGAGGAAGATCAGATACATAGGAGGATTCGTTTTTAGTTGTTTGTAGTAGTAAGAAAAATTGAAAATGAAATAGATTCTCATATGCAATCATTTGCAGTTAATTATAATTTCGAAATTTCGTCAATTCAAATTCAAGTGAGCCTTCAATCCATTTTCAAAAAACAGTTAGGAACTATTTTATAGCCGGAGCTTAAGTGATATGGGATTTACATCTGCCATCATTTGTAGTTGATTGTAGTTTTGAAATTTTTTCGATCCGAATTCAAATGAATGTTCTCTCGGTTTTTGGAGCCCCAGTGGGCTCTGAGTGATAGATATAGCGAAAATGATGACGGATTCCTGTCTACAATCGTTTGTAGTTATTTGTAGTACTCATAGATTTCCAATTCAATGGAAAAGAAGGACATGAGGAAGATCAGATACATAGGAGGATTCGTTTTTAGTTGTTTGTAGTAGTATGAAAAATTGGAAATGAAATAGATTCTCATATGCAATCATTTGCAGTTAATTATAATTTCGAAATTTCGTCAATTCAAATTCAAGTGAGCCTTCAATCCATTTTCAAAAAACAGTTAGGAACTATTTTATAGCCGGAGCTTAAGTGATATGGGATTTACATCTGCCATCATTTGTAGTTGATTGTAGTTTTGAAATTTTTTCGATCCGAATTCAAATGAATGTTCTCTCGGTTTTTGGAGCCCCAGTGGGCTCTGAGTGATAGATATAGCGAAAATGATGACGGATTCCTGTCTACAATCGTTTGTAGTTATTTGTAGTACTCATAGATTTCCAATTCAATGGAAAAGAAGGACATGAGGAAGATCAGATACATAGGAGGATTCGTTTTTAGTTGTTTGTAGTAGTATGAAAAATTGGAAATGAAAAAGATTCTTATATGCAATCATTTGCAGTTAATTGTAGTTTCGAAATTTCGTCAATCCGAATTCAAGTAAGCCTTCAATCCATTTTCAGAAAACAGATGGGAACTATTTTATCGTTGCAGCTTAATTGACATGGGATTCTCATCTGCAATCGTTTGTAGTTGTTTGTAGTACTCAAAGATTTCCAATCCAATGGAAAAGAAAGGCGTGAGGAAGATCAGATACATAGGAGGATTCGTTTTTAGTTGTTTGTAGTACTCAAAGATTTCCAATCCAATGGAAAAGAAAGGCGTGAGGAAGATCAGATACATAGGAGGATTCGTTTTTAGTTGTTTGTAGTACTCAAAGATTTCCAATCCAATGGAAAAGAAAGGCGTGAGGAAGATCAGATACATAGGAGGATTCGTTTTTAGTTGTTTGTAGTACTCAAAGATTTCCAATCCAATGGAAAAGAAAGGCGTGAGGAAGATCAGATACATAGGAGGATTCGTTTTTAGTTGTTTGTAGTAGTTAAAAAAATTGAAAATGAAATAGATTCTCATATGCAATCATTTACCCAATGTAATTTTAACTGTGAAATAGTTCCTGAGTGTTATTCAAGATTCGATTGAACGTATATTTGAATTTGAATTCAAAAAATTCCATAACTACATTCAACTACGAATGATTGCAGATTGAAATTTTCCTTCTTTCCTAATTTTAATCGCCACTGTAAACAACTACAAACCAATTCTTCTAGGTATCTGATCTCCTTCAGGTCCGTCTTAAAAAGTAATTCCTCGATGCCATTTCGTAAAAACCATTCCATCGGTACTCAAAATTTTCTAATACTACAAACAACTAAAAACAATTGGAGTCAGGAATCCGTCATCATTTTGGCTATAGCTATCACTCAGTCCCCACTTGTGCTCCAAAAACCGATAGAACATAAATTTGAATTCGGATTGAAAAAATTTCAAAACTACAATTAACTACAAATGTTTGCAGATGGGAATCCTATGTCAATTAAGCTGCAACTATAAAATAGTTCCCAACTGTTTTTTGAAAATGGATTGAAGGCTTACTTGAATTCGGACTGACGAAATTTCGAAACTACAATTAACTGCAAATGATTGCATATAAGAATCATTTTCATTTCCAATTTTTCATACTACTACAAACAACTAAAAACGAATCCTCCTATGTATCTGATCTTCCTCACGTCCTTCTTTTCCATTGGATTGGAAATCTATGAGTACTACAAATAACTACAAACGATTGTAGGCAGGAATCCGTCATCAGTTTGGCTATAGCTATCACTCAGTCCCCACTTGGACTATGAAAATGAATAGAACACTTATTTGAATTCGCATTGAAAAAATTTCAAAACTCCAATCAACTACAAATGATTGCAGATGTAAATCCCATATCACTTATGCTCCGGCTATAAAATAGTTCCTGTTTTTCGAAAATAGATTGAACGCTTACTTGAATTCGAGTGGATGAAATTTCGAAACTACAATTAACTGCAAATGATTGCATATGAGAATCTATTTCATTTTCAATTTTTCTTACTACTACATACAACTAAAAACGAATCCTCCTATGTATCTGATCTTCCTCACGTCCTTCTTTTCCATTGGATTGGAAATCTATGAGTACTATAAACAACTACACACGATTGTAGGCAGGAATCCGTGGTCAGTTTGGCTATAGCTATCACTCAGTCCCCACTTGGACTATGAAAATGAATAGAATACTTATTTGAATTCGGATTGAAAAAATTTCAAAACTACAATCAACAAGCGATTGCAGAAAAGGATCCGATGTCAATTAAGCTGGAACTGCAGGATAGGTCCTAAGTATCTCTCGAAAATGAATGACATGATTATTTGAATTCGAATTGAAAAAATTTCGGGAATAGGATCAACTACAAACGATTGCAGATAAGAATCTTTCATTCTTCCTAATTTTTTCCACCATTCAAAACAACTACAACCAAATCCTTCTACATATCTGATCTTTTTCAAGTTCTTTATGAAAAATAATTTTTCGGAACCATTTCATAAAAACCATACCGTCAATTTTTTTCATTGAACTGACAATTTGCAAGCACTACACACAACTACAAACGATTGCAGATAAGAATCTTTCATTCTTCCTAATTTTTTCCACCATTCAAAACAACTACAACCAAATCCTTCTACATATCTGATCTTTTTCAAGTTCTTTATGAAAAATAATTTTTCGGAACCATTTCATAAAAACCATACCGTCAATTTTTTTCATTGAACTGACAATTTGCAAGCACTACACACAACTACAAACGATTGCAGATCAAAATCCGATGCCAATTGAGCTGCAACTGCAAAATAGTTCCTGTCTTTCAAAAATGAATGAGGCGTCTATTCGAAGTCGGATTCGAAAAATTTCAAAACTACAATCAACTACAAACGATTGCAGATGAAAATCCGATGCCAATTGCGCTGCTACTGCAAAATAGTTTCTGTCTTTCGAAAATGAATGAGGCGTTTATTTGAAGTCGGATAGGAAGAATTTCAAAACTACAATCAACTACAAACGATTGCAGATAAGAATCCGATGTCCTTTTAGCTGTAACTATGAAATAGTTACTAACTGTCTTTTGAAAATGTATGGGGCGCTTATTTTTCAACTATAAACAAAAAAAAATGCTACTACTAACATGTGGCGATCAAAATCTACCAAATATCAAATTTTTGTTTCAATTCATCAAGGTGGGGTGCCAACTTCACAGAGCTATGCGGCAGGACTGACGAAAGTCTCATGGAGGCACATGGAGGTATCCAATCTACCATAAATATTTTTCCCATGCATTACAATTCTCAATATACCACAACAGCTGTGGCATTCCAACGTTTATATTAAAATATTAATTGCAATGTGTTGACTGAATAAATACAATTTGTATATTATGCATATATTAGGTGTGTGACTTAATTTTTATAGATTTTTCAGTAAATTATTTAATATAAAAAAATAGAGAACAACAAACTTAATCTTGGAAATATT